GCTCACCGCTGTGAGCGGAATATCACTCGCTCTCATGAGCAATTGGTAATACCCATCGGCCAAATCGAGTGCACTGTACTTCGTACATCCCACCTTGTTGTTCTGAAGAACATCCTTATTAGGAATTGGCGTTTGTGCCGGAATGGTGGCAGCGTTGAGCTTATTGTAAGCATGCGCTATACGCCACTTGCCGTTTGGCTTCCGATCACAAAACGTGGGTGTCGAATGGGGAGACTTGCTCTCACGTACCATCCTTGCGTCGAGCATCGCACGGAAAAAGGCGTCAATGACGTCGCGCTGCTTCTTATGCAGGGGCCATTGGCGTGTTACGCAGTATTTGGTTCCCGGAATCAGGTCGATCTCATGGCGCACACCTCGGTCCGGAGGCAGGACCGAAGGCGGGTCTTTGGAGACGACGTCTTGAAATTTCTTTGCCAAATGATAGTACGGATCCAAGGGATTCCGTAGGATCGACGATCCACTCCGTACGTTCAGCACTCTTTTGGTGTCTTCCAAGGCAGCTTCATCCAGAAGCGACGAATTCGCCTGGCTTCAAGGCACCGCCGAGCTCTTCGAGAGACAACTCGTTCAGCTAATGAGGACCATTTACTGCAGGAATAGTCTCGAGGGGAACTTCGCCGTCTTCCTCCCCCGTCATACCGTTGACAAGGGTGTATAGCTGTGCGCTATCGTCTACGGTAGATACATCCTGGATCAGGCTCGCGGTCGGCGTCTTACAGCTATCATTCGGCGTCGCTGTCGCCTCACCACAGAGGTTGTACATTTCAGCGGGACCAGTACTCGCCGTCGTCCAGTGTTAGCCTCACTTCCTGCTCCACCGGAGCCCTGGTGTTATTAACAACATCCGACGAACAGCTGATAGCTCCGCAGTCCTCGTCAAGTGGGTAACGTGCCACTTCACGAGAATCTGGAGGGCCTTGCCCATGATGCCTCGGACCTCGTCCGACCATGCCACTCGTGGTGTGCAGCGACTGCTTCAAGTTACGTACCACTCCACGCGCATCGCTAGGGCCTCGCCCTTGATGCATTGAAGCCTTGAAGCCTCGGACCTTGTCCGACCATGTCAGTCTTGGCATGCAGCGACTGCTCCAGAATTTGAGCAGTCCTCAGTGGGTTATGTACCACTCCACGTTCAGCCCACGAGCCATGATCGGACTTCTGTTCGATACACCTTCGGTGTTCACCAACTCAGATACTCCGATCTCCTGCATGTTGACCGGATCGGTCCAGTGTCCGCGCCAATAGCGTTTTTGCCTCCTGGCAGAGGTGGGTTAATAACTCACCAAAGCTCCAATAGGAGACGTGCGCGTAGTGCCCAAGAAGTTCCAGTCGATCCATGGCTTATGGTGTTCCAGACATGCCATACCAAAGATGATGTCATACATTAAATCAAAGTCTAAGACTAAGCAGCGCTCTACGCTATCAAAGTAAAGAAACTTGACAGCGAGGTCCACAGGGACCTTCGGCACCGTGACACATGTCCCTGTCGCTAAGCGAACAGACACGATGCCACTCCAACGCGCCTTCAGCACCTCGGCATGCAGCTGACTTCCTTCCATCGCGGAGTGTCGAGCATAATTGCCCGACGCTCCAGGGTCGATCAGGAACTTCCATGGCTTCTCAAAGTTCTTCACGGTCGCTTTCACGACCAGCAGGCCCGGCCTGCATACACGTTCCGTGTTTACGAACACGGAGCTCTTCCGGGCTGGGCCCTGCTGGCCTCTACCTCCTCGAGGCTCGACAATATTTAGTTCTTTCCCAGTAGGATGCCCGCGCCTACTGGGTGTTGTCGTTTCCCCACGACAATTAGAAGACTGGTAAGAAGCGAGACGCCTGATCAATAAACTTTGACGCGCTCTGCGCAGGGGACAGCCAATCCGAAGGTGACGGGTGTCTCCATAGACGGAGCACCGTCGGATGTTTGAACGCTGCTCGGCAGCTCGGAGCCCTGCCTCCTTGTCATCAGCATAGCTGAGATTCATCGGCTCAGGTCCACTCGACGAGCTGCTAGAGTGTGTATTCCAACCAAATCGGACCGACTTAAAGTTGAATTTGGTAATCAATGGCACATTCACTGCTGCTACAAAGTGACGGGTGCACTCGGTAGACTTCCATTCTAGCCACGCCAGTGCGGAGGTTCTTCTAAAAGACGGTCAATGTGACAACCTCGGAAAGAGGATCGGCTGCCATACCGGCAATGAGAGTACGCAAATCTTGGACAAAGTCCACCAATACCGTTTTTCCCTATCGAACGACAAGTAAACACGATCACCCGCCATATGCCTGGTTAGGCGGCGAGAACACTCGTTAAAGTTACAGCTTCAGCTCGTCCAGGAGGAAAAAGACGTTTCGACCTAAGTGCCGCACGTCTCGTGTTCGACCACCGAGCTTGGAGATAGCTAGCGTCACGCGCTGTTGCTCGGTTTGGATCATGGCGGACGCCATGGCCATCTTGACCTCTCCCACCCAGAGCAGGCGATTCTCTCCATCCTTGCCCTCGAAATTCTTAATACTCACCTTGAGCGGCTTGGATCAGGGGGAATCATCCGTCGTCCACGGTGGCGTCACTGACGCAGTCGATACCGACATCTTCTGCTGTATGTGATCTAGCAGAGCACTTAGATAGCTTCAAAAGCCCCTTGGCGCGCGCTGTTCGCTATAGGTCTTTGCGAAGCAAAGTGTTGCACGGCCACAGGTCCAAGCAGAGACATCAGCATTTTAAGTTCGTCCTGCATGCCCTGGGGGGAATAAGAAAACTGCTCCATCCTCACAGAAAGCCAGTCGTGACGACTCAGATGTAGATTGACTACAAGCGCCACCAAGTGCAGTGGGGCTACCGTAGCCCTTTTGCTTAGAGGAAGCTTGGTCAACGTCGGTAGACCTTCGTTCTATACTTAGAACCACTTACTCCAAGAGTAACCACAACCTTAACTAACTCTTCCGTTTGAAACGTAAACGGTATTTCTCGGATTTATTTGCGGCAAAACTGCCTATATCTAAATCTATAGGTTTTCCTATCTATATAGCAAATTTTAATTTAATGTAAAGCTACTGGCAATCCAGCCAAGTACGACTTCTTGTTCAAGTGTAGCCACACCATTGTGTGATCACAATATACAATACGGTCAAAATACAACAATATTACTGGTACTAACGGTATATAGACTGGCTGCGTGGGTCGACATCTACAGTCGCTCGAATCCGCAGCTCCGCGCACGTAGTATTCGCTACCGTTTTGGTGGCTTCTTATAAATAATATGAAACCAAATTTTACTGAAATATACAGGCCAATCTTAGGCCCACATTCGCCACGATTTGGCCAATGATATGGCTTGGAAACAGCGCAGCCATAAAGAACAATTATAAGACCGTCTTTGCGATACGCTAAGTGAGGCATGATCTCAGAAAGGGCTAAAGTAAGAACAACAATATATCATAATAATGCATAGAGTAGGTGCTAACTCACAAGAGCTTCAATTTGAGCAAGTCTACAGGCTGCTTTTACCCCTGAACCTGTTAAATGGACGGACGTAGAGACAGAATGGTTTCAGTTTTTCATATTGTATTAAGGAAGAATGTGGTGCCAGAATACTTAAGATGCGCAGCAATGCTCTCACTGTTTTGGCGGAATACATGAAATAGGATTTTCGCGTCCGTGTGCCCCACTTACAGAGGATTGCTTAGGTCGACTGACACGCCTCACCGCGTATTGCTTGCTTTCAGCGGGCCTTCGCCTTACGTAAAGAGGTGGAAAGGTGAAGTGACACTTATTATTATAAATAATGGGCTTGGAACCTCTCCAACCTGATAAGTGTCTCTAGTTCTGATATAACAAGGCTGAAAGGGGATATACAGCTATACAGGGTGTAGTTGATGTGAAATATAAACCAAGTATGTGGTGTTAAATGGGGACCTGGTCCATTACAAGACAGTTTTAGCATGAAGGTTGGATAAGCCGGCATGTATGGACCAACCCAGAATTAGGTTAAGCAAGGATTCACACGTAGCAGGAATCCTGAGACTGGGATGTGGCCCCGAAGGCTTGCTTATTTTGCATCATGCCCATTTTCGTTAGCAGCACGCAACGTTATTCTCAGGCCAAATATACAAATTGTTACGTCTAACGACGAAGCCCTTGTAACTCGAATGACACGTAATTTGATGATAGATTTCTATGGAAGTATTTGATTTGAAAAAGTGGATGACTGCACGAATAGCGTATATGTTACTACGTGGTGGCGAAGACTTGAGATGAAAATTGTTAATAAACGAGACCTTGTGTTGCCGATCCCAATCAATGCGTAAGAGGCGTAGCATATCTGCTGACGAAAGAGTATTCATCGTCACGCAACATCAACATAGTGGATTTCTGCGTTTTTTCTCACGGGGTTCCACAGGTAAGAAACGAAAAGGGTAGCTATCAACACTGCTGTTTTGGGGGGTTGACCAACTGCGCTGCAGCGTTAGTTTCTACTTTTCTCCACCAACTACCGTGGTCTCTTACTTCTGTCAGCCGACGCTCCTTGCAATGAACACGACATATCTTCCGACCCCGTTTCAGATCACAAATGCAAGTTCGGCTTGGCCGTCACTGATCGCGACAAGACAACAGGGTGGTAACGTCTCTTTTCTGTCTAGAGTTCAGGCGGAAGGTAAAACTGGCGCTAAAAGCAAGTAGACGTAGCATACACAGTGATTCCCCACCCCATATGACGTGTGTACTCGTTCCCACAAGAATAAACTGGGATGAGCTCCAACATATCACTACGGCTATAAGTCTAGTATTTCAACAAGACTTTATCCAGACCAACACGCTGTTAGCCCACTTTGATGGCTATAGAACTCTGACTCCCACATTCAACCGCGATACTGCTGAGAAAGTGACTGGCGACCGTCTGATTGATGTTGACGACAAATTTTTGTACACCTCCCTCGCGCGTGGGCTGGATCGTCTTTAAAATTCACGGGGACGCGCTACCGGAAAATACCGTCAAAGTGCACTCTGTCATGATAGAGTTTGCTCACCAGTTCCAAATGGTATTTGGATTTGTTTCGAGTGGCGCATCGTTCCAAGGTACGTCCAAATTCGTTGACGTCGTATAAAACGCGTTTACCTGCTAGGCTGCAGTGAAAGTGTCTATGATACATGTATCCGAGTAATTTGCGCTACCAGTTCAGAGGTTACTCATGAATTCCTTCGTCGCTACTGGGCGTATTCTATTGCGCTCAACATTGGGCACGCTCAAGGGACGTCGTATACGGATATCCGAGTTTTGCACAAGTGCCGGAACGCTGGTGAGCATCCACGTCATTGCCCTGCCGTTACACATGGACAAATCGTATAGAACGCAGTTCAACACGGCATGTATGGCGCTTGATGCCATTGACTCCTCATGATGGAATAAGATCGAGTCCATCAGTACGAACAGTAAGCACACCATGGATAGCCAACTTTCAAGCGTGCAGAATTGATTCAAGCAAGCAGCGACGTAGTTCTTAGTGTGCATTTGATGCGATCTCTACCAGATTTAACCTGCCGCTCAGAAGGAATACAGATCTTGCTGATGAAACGCTCACAACGACTCAGACTGGTTTAATCACGTCTTAAAGAAAACAGAAACCTTCAGTCCAGATGAAGACGACTTATCCCAAGTTCGTGAGTGCTCGCTGGTTATTGATACACTGAATGACAGAATGGCTATCAAGCATCATGAGCGCGTTCCAGAGTATTTTCAGAAGAAAAAACTAGCGTGTAAGCCTCCCGTCGTTTGATAGTAATGGTATTGTGCTTTGATGCCGTAGCTAAATCGCGTTAATACCTGCAAGAACTGAGCACGCTGTCAAGTCAGCAACGAGCCGATTTCTTCGAGTTATGCGATGTTCTTTTAAAATTCGCCTGGTGAAGGACCTCTACTGTCGAACGATAGTGTTGAAGCCAATTTTACTGCTGCTTACGTCCGTCGTGGATATTACATGGTATCCTACGCTGATGCTCTGGTCTTTGTTCGCGATTTAAGCATTTTCAACGAAGGCTCTATCAGCAAGCGATGCTACAAACATAGTGCTTATAAATGCCAGTTTTATTTGCTAGATTGTACATGGGCATCAAGGGGATTATACCTGCTCCGAGCTCAGAGAACAAAAGCCCTTTGACGCATTTACTGCAAACTTGCCTCACTCTTTGATCAAAATACGTACGGTTTTGATGAGCGAACTTCTTCACCGGTATGCGCAGCGACGTCAGCGGACCGGCTAAACACAGATTCAGACCGGCGAGATCGAAAAGAACTAACGAGATCTCCTCTCTGCTTAACCTTAAAAACATGTGCTGAAAAATGCTTTTAAATACTGCTCGGACGCAAATACAGTTTTCTGCGACAGCTGCGCTATGCTTAAGAAGAATTACGCCAGGTGGAATGCGGTCTGGCTACCATGTTTTCGACCACCGCAGCCGTGGGGGCAGATTTCTCTCTGATTGATCACAAGAAAGACGAGTATCGCCACTCGCTGCACTGGAAGGGATCCTACATTCTGAGTAGTTTGATACTTTGCGCGCTTACTGAGCAAGCAACAAATACATTCGAACGTTTTTTGATAGTATCACCGTGCAGCAGGGCTGTCGTAGCTTTGCGCTTAGAGGAAGCGTAAGTTAGGTCATCGACCTTTCGTTCTATACTTAGAACAAGTACGAGTTTAGCGGATCGCACTCCGCTTACTCCAAGAGTAATTACAACCTTAACCCAGGGCTAATTAACTCTTCCGCATAAATCCAGAACTGGCTTTATTTTTTTTTATTTGCGGCAAAGCCGCCTAATTATAAATGTATAGATTCTCCTGAATATATATAGTAAAATCTGAATACATGCATAGCTACTGGCTACCCAGCCACGTTCCTTATTCCTATTTGGGTGCAGTCACACCATGCCCATATCGTGTGACACAAAACCCTGTTACCAGGGTACGTGTAACCCCGTTACACACCGAGTCTTGCCCGTTATAGTCAGGTTGGTCCCACTTTGGGGCTTACAGAAAATTTCATTGTCAGAGCGCCTGTTTTACCGAGCTATGTACATTTGTGTGTGTTTGTGGTGCTCTGATTTACATCTCAGCGCAGTCGTTGCCCTAACATTGTGAAAAAATACGTGGCAAACAATACTGGTGAGGCCATGCACAGCATAAAATACGATTACCGAGCGTGGAAACTTATTATACTATTAAGCTTTGTATTCTTCCGAATAACTAATCACGTTACATTTTTATTTTTCCAAAGAAATCTCGCGAAGTGTTTGTACACAACACAAAACATTTGTTTCTTGGGTTGCCGCAGTTTCTTTAATAACCAACAACAGTAGTACTACATCCATTCAAGTTGAAGAAAGAGCTGAGAATCAAAGCGCGAAAGCAGCTGGTAGATATTAAACTCCTTAAGGTTATGTGCAAATCTGGCTCAAAATTTCAGGCTCCATCAAATCCGTACTTTTCTGAGTTTGATAAGAAAGCGTACAGCCTATAGACCTACCAACATAATATGCGCCACTATAACATGATTGTGTTGAAATACGATGGAATTGATGATCTCAGTCAACTTTCTACACAAGGCTGCTTTGATACTAAACGCTTTTGAATGCTGAGCGAGCAATGCCGAATGCCAAAACCGTCAGTGCATAACGTGAGTTGATTTGATATGTTTATAAGGCATAGACATCTAGGAAAGCCTGTAAAGTTTCCTGTTATGCTTATCTAAATTGAAACGACATCGAAGACTCATAAATACGCCAGACAGTAAGGTGGATATGATAGCTAGTGTCTTATGCCCCCACACTGATCATTTTATCAAGCTGGCAGGACAGACATTACATATTCACAATCAATGTATCAGTTTCCGAAAAAGATCCGTTCAGACCAGAACAATTCTGGTCTGGGCGACCAGCACAGCTCTGATCGTATGAATCATTCTATCAGAGACTGATGCACAGATTGTGAGAGGAGAGAAGGTACGAAGTGTAGATACATTGCTACGGTATCAAATCTCTAATTGAAAGAATAACAAACACATGTTTGTCTTTATTGCTCGATTAAAGAACCATATGTTTTTGATTCATTAATTTTCAATGCATAAGATTCTATTGTCCGAATGGTACGCATTTCTGAACAGATGTCGATATCTCCGGATATAACTTTAACTCCGGCTGTCTTCAGATTAGACTGAATGCTAGTCTTCACAATATGCATTTTATGAGGGCGCTCCGCACATTGTAGGCGATAAACTGGGATACCAGCTAAAACCCATCTTGTCAGTCTTCGTTTTGCATCCTTCGTGTCAATTAAATTGACAACATGGTTCCAGTTATAATTCTCGCAGCGATTGGCACTCTTGTGAGCCTATGTGGATCTATTGCCGCTAGCAAAGACAGCTGTGTGCAGATTGACTTTACTACCCAAGAAGAAGAGTTTGCTGACTTCAATACGATGATCAGGTCACCGAAAACAAAAAAATTTCTTACGTCCGTCGTCGGAAGCTATGACCCTTTAGTACGTGAAAATGTCGTCATGGATAACATCAGTTATGACTTCATGGCCCAATCGCTGACTCTCTGGCCCGTGATCGATTCGATGAGAGTAACTGGCCTTAGTTCCATACTCCCCCATTTCATTAATGTCAACACATCGAATTCAGTCACTATGGGTCTTGCATCATCATCTCAAGTTACTGTGGATGCTACCGTGAACGTGCAAGTTGAGCCAATGGGTATGTCTCTGACAGTTCACTTGCAATGTGATTTGGACCGACCGAAAATGATTCTCGGTGCTGAAGTGAACATGCTAGCATGCGCCACAGGGGTACCAGTTTCCCAGTGCTCAAACGTGACCGTTTCTAATCTGCAGTCTCAGTTTGCCAAAGCGACCACGAAAAAGCAGTACGTCAGCCTGATGAAAGAGGTGCTGATGAAGTTTGAGAGTGCGTCCGTTACAGCGTTTCTACTTGACTTTCGATCGATTTCGGGTTTGACTGTAGAGTATAGTAGCCCAGATATCATGACTAAATCACTCTTGCATTTCCTTCCAAGCTTCACAGACGCCGTGATTGATAAGAAGAGCGACATGTACCGCACGTGGATGTCAAAACTGAGTGCCAGCGCTCCAGCAGTGTTGAACGCTATGATTATTAAATCGTTGGCGCCACTCTTTGGTGGAACATGTCTCTCGGACGATTAATAGTCCGTAGTTGAAAATGAAACTCTGATGTGTCCCAATTTATTCGCTTACTTGTTCCAATTTCGTACCACTTCATGTTCCTCAACATAAAAGCAGATATTATTCATTTTATGTTTCTAACGATGGAATAGCTCTACGATGAGCTTTATGACATGTGCCGCGCCTGTCAACCGCAAGAAAAACAGTTTTTTGGTGAGAAACATAAATAGTAAATCGTACGCATTAACTTCAAGCCGAAATTCCATTTAGTCTAACTAAAGCAAACATAGCAATTGTAGTCTGAGAAGCTCTCCTCGGTTCCGCTCATGGTCAGAAATTCAACCTTTGAGGGTTTGCTAACGCTAACTCTAATAGTCAAAACTTCCCTTGTGCAAAGCGCACGGTAATCCCGCTGCACTTTATTCTTTGCGAGGACGAAATATTATAAATATTCGCAAATATGTCGCCAGGACATCACCTTTTTAACAGCGCTGCCGTAAAAAGCATCGCAATGCAGACTATCATATTGCTATTAATTGCTGAAATAACATATCAGTCCGAATGCATTCTATCACCACACTATCAACAGCTACGACAACACATCAGTCGCATAGCATACTTCCACCTTTCTAACAACGCGGCCATGAATCCATCGCAATGCAGACTATCACATTGCTATTAACAGCTGGAATAACATATCAATTGCACTACAGACTATCACCACGTTCTGCTTTTGCAAAGTAATCATCGATATACTCACTTTGCTCACGCGACAGTAGCCGCTGTCGAAGCACTGCATGGTTTAAACCAGTTTCACGATCAATTTTGTGTCGAACTCCACGTTTGGGTGATAGACCAGAGGGCGGATTTGCACTGTTGTTATGTTCGTAAACTTTGTGTCCATGCAGACCCTAATAAGGTCATAGCAATCGTGGAGTGGCCGACGCCACGAAATTAAAAGGATCTGAGGAAATGGATTAATTTGTTCAATTTCCTGCAGCGATTTTCTCGTAACTATGTGGACATGGCAAGCCCGCTACCAAACTAGCTGAAGGAAGACGTACCATGGGAGTGGCCATCCACCTGTGAAGAAGCATTCGCTCAGATCAAGAACAGCTGGATGGAAGCACCATTGCTCGATTTACCAGATAATTCGAAGCCGTAAAGCTTAATGTGTGACGCATCTGAGTCTGAAATCGGATGTGCATTATTGCAAAAAGACTCAAAAGGACACGATCGTGACGTGTCGTTTTTATCGCGACGGCTAAAGCCATAGGACACTATCGTGACGTGTCTTTTTAATCGCGACAGCTAAAGCCAGCTAAATAAAACCACCCTGTCCACGACAAGGAGCTTTTGGCAATGAAATATGCCATCCTTCCCGGAATACAACTTCACGGTCGCGTACAAGCCTGGGAAGCTGAAGGTTCAGAAAGACGCATTGTCACGATGAGCTAGCTCATTTCAGCAATATCGAAAACGATGTATTTGATAGGATACGTCGGGCGTATGGTGAAAATGAATAGTTTGATCTGATCATTAGAGCACTGTCATCGAGTGAAATGAAATTTCATGACAAGCTTCCTGGCCGCTTGAAATCAAGGTCGCATCGTTATGCATGCAAGAATGGTCTTCTTCACTATAATGTTGCACATGAAGACGAGCCACGGATTGTTGCACCAACACAATGATATGAAGTACAATATAGTGTGCGAGGGGCACGATACGCCGATGGCCGGTCACTTTGGCCGTGAGAAGACATACCAGTCTCTCAGTGCCCAATTTTGGTGGCACCACATGTACAAATGGGTGGCACGATACGCGAAGACATGCGATGTCTGTCAGCGCGTGAAGAGCGCACGGCACACGTAATCGCCACTGCAGAATCTTCCTGTTCCTTCTGACTGTTGGAAGTCTGTCCGGCTCGACTTTCTTTTTGGCTTTCCCAAGAATGCTGATGGGCACAATTGGATGCTCGTATTTTCTGACTGACCCAGCAAGATGGTTCGCATCGCCCCATGTAGCGATTCTATCGATACCGACGGCTAAGTTGTTCGTTAATTACATTATTCACAATCACGGTTTGCCAGACGCCATCGTCTATGATTGTGATTCACGATCCACGAGTGTTTTAGAAAGAAGTGTTTTGAAGTTGACACTCGCTTGGATCTGACCAAAGCGGGCCATTCGGAGACCGATATGCGAAAAGAACGTGTCAACCGAGTGTTGTAACGATGGGCTAAGAAGCTTCTGTGTGAAAAAATCGGCAAATGGCGTTTGTTGTTACCATTAGCTGAGTTTGCTATGATTAATCATTTATCCACTGGAACCAAGCTAATTTCATGAATGACTTGCGACACCCACAATTACCGCTTTGTGCAATGGATGGTGTCACCGATGTGAGTGTTAGAAGAGCTCAGAAGAACGTCGCCTTCTAAATTTATACAAAAATGATACGCATGTGGAGCGCAAGTACAAGGACATTACTGACTAATTCATGAGTCATGTGAATGTGATCACACGAGTGCGAGACACAATGGCCGACGCACAGGATTTGCAAAGGAATACGCGGATAGACAAGGTCATCTAGGCAAAATGTCTTTTAGGTACTCAGTAGTACCTAAATTCCATCAGACGAAGCTATTACCTCGCTTCATCGGTCCATTTCGTGTAGTTTCATGCCATGTAAATGCTTACAATATCGGCATACCAAGCTGACTAAGGACACATCCAACGTTCAACGTCGAGATCTTCAAGCCCTACAATCGCGACGACGGGATTCCCAACTTAGATATATCACAGTCTTATTCGAATGTAACTTCAGAGCCACGGCTTTGGCATGAGGTCAAAGGTTGGACCCATTGGCGTCGTCGCCTCAGCATCGCCCTCGGAATGACGGGAATAATCAGGAGCGCCCGAAACAGAGCGAGTCCGCTCGGCTGGAGGCCCTGCAGCGTCAACAGAAGCAGCCGCAGCAGGCGAAAGAGCTTGCAAAGCCTGCTCCAATTGGTGGATCTGACCCTCGACTGCGTCCCCAGGCGAGTTTCCATGACGCCATGCGAAATCGCAAACTTTGCGGACGACCTGTCGACTATCCTTCACGCGTTGTCGCCTCGATCAGCCGCTGGCACATCAGCGAGAGAAGCTTCTCCGCCTTCGTCAAAAGACAATTCCATTGCTAACGAAGACTGTGGACCTGCCACGGATGAAACAAAAGGGACTCATTCTTTGGGCACCCCTTCTTCTAGATTAACAGATAATCGATACTACCACGTCATGAACGTGGTGGCAGAGAGGAACGTCCGTGATCGAAAGGAACTCTTGGTAAAATGGCTAGGATATCCAGCGAACGAGAATTTGTGGGAGCCTGGAACTCGTATTCTTCGCGACTGTCCCAGTATCGTTCGCGCGTTCGATGCGAATCCGAAGACAGAAAGGAAGAGACGGCTTTCCAGCCGTCCCTTCCTTTTCTCCCTCTGTTTCTCCCGTCGCGAATTCGACAGATGATCGAACGCATTTTACAAGCACCCTCGATGTCGGAGTGAACCCAATTCTGTGCTGTTAAATACGCAATTTGAAAGTGCTTATCGCGTACCTTCAACAAGCCAGCAGCGGTACACGCGCATTGAAACGATGAATATCCGCGAATTTGGTCGCATAAATCCTTGCCCAGAATTGAGTGTCAATGGAATCCGAAATGGATTGCTGGACATATGGAAAATACGTGAGGCTTCGTGGCTCATCGAAAGCACGAGTAGTCGATCCGCTGGCGCGAAAATTCGCTGTCTAATTTATCAGTGAAAACCCATTCGACTGAAGAGTTCGTCGAACACTAGGATGGGACCACCAAGTCGGTCGTTAAAGTCATTATGACGATCAAGTTCACGATAGCGCAAATGTGCTGGATGACGTGGAATCGGAACATTATCCAAGTTCGATGGCGGCGACAATTCCATGTTGAGCAAGCGTATGGGTTGTCACTCTAGCGAGAGCTGGACAAAGCACGACGAAGAGCGTGAAGAAGAATTATAATATTTGGGTAAACCACTTTTGATGGTGGGGTGGTGATTTGAGTCAACATGTGCGATGGGAAGGTCCATTGCAAATGTTGTGTAGGCCACATAATCTGTGAGTATGCTTTACATTAACTATACACCCCGCATAGTTGTATATCTACTCAAGTTGTGTTATTTCAGAACTAGAGGCACTTATCAGGTGAGTGAGGTTTCAGACCTATAGGCTATACTAATGAAAGTCACTTCACCGTTCCTCCTTTTTATGCCAGTCAATGGCTCGCTGGAAGCGAGCAACACGCGGTGAGGCATGTCAGCTGATCTAAGCCTTCCTCAGTAAGTGGGTGTACACGGATGGGCAATTTTTGCTACAGAATGTCGATCCTTATCAGGCTGCCTTGGGCCTACCGAAAAAAACTTGGCTCTTTCGTAACAGATGGAGGTCGTGGTCGAGGAACTCAGCCCTATAAGAATGACTAACTCCGAAAGAGGTGAGGCTGATGGCCCAGGGTTGTTCGTTGTTGATATCAACGTCCCAGGCTCCGTAAAGTCGTGTAAAGTCCTGAAAATCTAGTAGCGTCGTGTGATTACAGACTATCAAAATAGTAAAAAGCACGCGGAGGCAATGAATATGCCAAATAAGGTTACGAAATCCGTGCGTCTTGCAACAGTTACACCAATACAGTATTTTGAACCTTCAACCAAAGGATGACCTGACAATTTGTATTTTTTGTCCTTTGCGGAGTATCAAAATGTCTTCTTTAGACACGGCGCGGCCGGGACACCAGAGCCATATGTCGACTGGAAGTAAAAAAAGCTAGGTTCTTTACAGTGGAAGATTGGCGAGTCGTAAATCTACCATTACCAGGAACCAGAAGCTCATGAAGCGCGGGTTTGAAGCTGTGATAGCTTTCGTGCAGGACATAGCTTGTCCGAAATTGATGGCATAAAATTGATAGTTTCCTCGAGCAGAGCTCGGGAGAAAGAACCGACAGTGAGCTGAGGTCTCAAAATGATATAACAAAGGTAATTTTATGGCGCAAACTCCTGCGTGTATCTTTGTTGAAACGGAAAGGACGATTTTAAATGTGATCTCAGGCTGTATATCGGGCAAGACAGCAAGGACCAGCAGCGAGCTGTTGTCTCTTGTTCCGGGGCCGGTGGACAGTGGAAGCAACTGTGTGTCGCAATTTTCAGTGGCAGGACCAAGAGACTTGTAGGACGACTGTCAGTCGCCAGTAGATGGGCTAGGCTCGAAAAAGACCAAGGATGGTTCATCTTGTTCCAATCTGATAGTACTGCTGAGCCAGCTCTACTGCATGAAAGTCCGCCGTGCGGAGCAGTTATGGTAAGATATTGATTTACTTATGATTGAAGTGGCCAGGGTACTCCACGGATCTATCAACCACCTCTCGCTTCCTTTAGCATAAGTTCTTGTAAAGGTGGAGATATGATCTATCGGGATGTGAGCAAGAAAATGTAAATTGGTAAGATCACCGAAATGTTTCGATTGGTACGGAAGGAGTTGAGCTCGTCCTCCGTCATAGAAAATATTGTAATTGAGGGCCTTTGCACAACACTGAGCGCAAAGAGTGAGACAGCTCTCCTCAAAGATCCTACGAGTCCATTCTACCTTTGTTAATGAAATGTCACGATGTGTAACGAGAGATCTACCACAAGAGCAATCACCGGATAGGAAAGTGTTTCATGAATGCGATTTGGTTCTCGGGAAAATATTGCGTCACATAGCTTTGGTGCTTATCAAGATAGAATTGTGACGTCATTGACGCTTTCTTTTGTGCAAGCACAGTACCAATTTGGTGCAAGAAAGTAGATCCTTAAACTGGGCGCTGACTGCTGTGTCACTATTGGCAAGTGACAAATAATGCATGCTTTTAGTAAGCCAAATATAACCTTGATATCGGCGCAAACGCTGAAAACCAGAAAAAAACTGCTGCAGAACAGCATGACCGACTGCACTTTATTCAGTCCTCTCGACCTGATGCATATCATAAAATACTGATGAGCGACAACGATTACCTTCCACAACGTGATTGCTTTGAGCGGCATACCCCGAGAGTGGCTGCTTATGTTACAGAGACTGTCTTACACGTCAGCGACATTCAATCGTCTGGCGACACAATTACCCCGGCTATATCAGAGCTATGTAACACATACTTCGACGATAGTCATCCATGATCGCGCAGAGCACGTAAAGTCTACGTGAAAAACCACAATATACACTTGCGAGCGGTGCTCAAATGTATGCGCTCAAATTAGCTATTTGCCTGTATAGATACGAGTGTCTTTGACGTTGGCAAAATCCTTTAAGCTGTCTTATCGAAGAGCTGAGAATACAGAAGGTCCCGCGACGATAAAGACCATTGAGGATTGGCTACCATCTCTGTCCCGTGGCCAAGCTAATCACATCCTCAAATACAGTGCAAATTATGCCGACAAATCGTGAACCTCGACCATATCTATAAAACGACCTAAAATGACGTTAGAGTGCGGTCGAGTAGGTAATTTCTAATACTGTGAAAGGGATTCTCATGCGTCCTGCGCAAAAGAGCTACCCAGGTTTTGACAAGAAGCAACAGCGACGAAGTATGCCCTTGTCCAATATCAGGATGCACAGATTACGTGTCCTGGCGTACAGGGACATCGTCATCGCATCATTTCCATAAAATGACAAGATAATTGCTCATTGATGCTGAGTATACCTACGAGGTGAGGCATTACCCGGTTTGACTTGATGTGGTGGCGGATGCGTTTTCGCATCACCCTAAATGTGATTTGTCCTCACAAAATGATAAGGTCGACAATTGACTTAGCAATATGTACTGCGAACGGATCAGACGCAACATGTGTCACGCTGCTTCGTTATGCAAGATTTTAAGACCTCAAATAACGCATTTGTCGAAGCACGCGACTGCACGCCTGCATTGCTATACATTTTCCAAGGCTTGAAGTATTATAGCACTGACCCACATGGCAATGACCTTGTTGTGGTGCCTTAATATTTAAAGCTCAAGTCTGAAATACTGTATGCGGTACAAGACATAACTTGAATAACATCTTGGGAGAAAGAAGACTACATCTCGGCGAGCGGTATATATTGATGGCCCGACCTGTAGCTTGGGTTCTCACATAGGTGCGCACGTGTGAAATTTGTCAACGGGTTAGTCTCGATACATTTGGCCAGGTTGCAGATTCCGCCATAAAGCTGGCAGCTCATAAGACTGCTGTATCATATGGGCAAGTTGCTGAGTTGTAAACAGTCGCAACTTAATGCGTTACATTGTTACCTTTATATCTGGGTAGTGCGTAGTACCTTGCAAAGTCAAGCACAAGATGACGGTAAAAGAATTTGCGCTTTGTTGAAGCTGGCATGAATGCCTTCTACATGGGTTAATAAAGGAATTGCGTCAGTTAGTGCGCTATCTAGATCTGATACCCATCAGCTCTTTCGTCAACTTTAGTGCCAAAGATACATCTCTCATATATATTACGGCTTTTTCAGAAACCGCTGCTGCTCCGAGCGCAGACGGTATACGTGAATAGTAATGATCTGTAGGCTGAGAATGCGCTCGCAAAGCAGCTTTCTCGCGCTCATTTTGCTCCGGGTGTATGCGACAGAACCGCAAGGAACGGCGTGTTGGAGTTTTGCGCAGGGCAGCGAGCTAGTTCAGCGAGCTAGTTCAGCGAGCTAGTTCAGTCTGTTATAGAGGCATGATTTGGGCAAGAGTCTGCATGACTCGCGCTTATATGGGCTGGGCCTTAGATCAATATGGATTGTCTACCCAATGTCGTGGAGTGATAGTACAGCTCAGCCATCAGCAGCAATAGATCTGACCACCAGGCGGATAGGTGAACTTTGCGCAAAATTGTGGCGAGCATTTTTATTTACTCGTGATTAAAGCAGCAGGGGTAAAATTTGGTGATGTCTGCAACAGGATTGCTAAGGATCTCGTCTGAAGAATTCTTTGACTTGACAAATTTACAATAACTAACGCATAGAGGGGATCCTCTATGCAATTTTTGGCATTTGAGAGACCATTTTAAGCAATAGGAGGTTATGTGATTTTTCTTATTTCTGAGAGTGATTTATTTTAATCAGTAATTCTAGATCTTATTATTAAAGAATACTTCGGTTCATAATTACAAGAAGATTACAATGTTATGCATGGCGGAAGACTAGCACCTTACAAATGTCTTCTTTCCGAGGTCACATCATGCAGCGGGGCTGCCGTAGTTATTTGCTTGGAGGAAGATTACTAAGGTCACCGACCTTTCGTTCTATATTACAACCAGTATGAGTGTAGCGGATCGCAATTCGCTACATCCAAAAATACCCAAAACCTTAAGCAAGGGCAAATACACCCTTCCGTTCAAATCTAAACTGTATTCATCTGTTTTTGCGGCAAAGCCACCTATATCTAAATCTGTAGGTTTTCGTGATTACCTAATTAAAGTGCATAACTACTGTCAGGCCCGCTAAGTAGTGGCTTCTTGTTAAGAAATAGCCACACCATCGTGTGGTCACACCATTTTGTGCCCCCACCCCTTATACCAGGGTACGTGTAGCTCCGTTACACACCATCCTCTTCCAAACTCTCTCTGATCACTGCAACATTCTTTGAAACTTTTAAGCTTGGTACTACGATCGAGGGAGAAAATAAATATAAATAAGGTGTCACATACCATGATACGTACGTATCGCGTAACACCCTTCCAATAATAGAATAGAAACCATACTTAATTCTTAAGACATCACGCAAAGTAAACGCTTAATGAGCATCTGCTGCGCCGAATATCTTTCGATTTCATTTCACAAACAAAGTCCCTGCTTTGTCGAGCACAATTAAAGCTGGTGATTCTTGTCTTTAGCTGCCCAAATGACTTAACGAGCTACTGACTATGGCGCTGCCTCCCGCGGCCGAGGACCTCTTTGACAAAAACGGTCACTATGTTTTTCCGAGTCTTGCCCGATACCTTGGTCTCGCCGAACAGCACAAGTAAAATAACTTCCTGGCAACAAATATCGTCTCAAGGAGGGAACGTTCAAACTATCACCTAAATCCCACACAAACTGCGCACTCCAAACCCGTATCGTGCAGCGGAGACCTCACCGCAGAGTTCACAGCGACCTTCAGTCCATTTTTGATGAATAAGCGTCGGATCAGCTAGTTACGCTTAGCTTTCTTTATGTGCAAGTATTGCTGCGAATTTGTCAGACTGCCACACGACTTGATTCTAGCTTTGATTGAATGTTGCACTCAGCGCCGCCGCGCCGCGGCGGTGCCAGTACATGCCTATATATGCGGGTCATCTGCTAAAGCCTCATGCAAAAAAGCACCCGAAAGTTGCTGCTTGAGCGCTTTTGTCCCTTCGTTCTCGACAGTTAGATGTATTGCCTGCGACTAGAGCAGTAATTGGGTAATTCGCCTATTTCTAAGAGCCATACAATATAAAAAAGAGTGCAATATATATGAAAATACACGTGTCCTCACCCGTTGTACGGCTAAGACGCTGGCTTATGAAAAGCAGAGGCCACAATCACTCTCGTTCAGTACTTTACTCTGTATACTCCAAGACACGACGTAAACGCAGCTTACCACCTCAAGGTCTTGCGGACGACAGCCTGCTTAACGTTTTGAGCCTACTCAGCAAAGTCTAGATCTTTGACCGAGGATAGGCCCTACTCGCATGAGAAAATCCCGTTTTGCTGCAAAACCTGTCTAATCACCTGACACAGTCGATAAAAAGGGAACACCAAGTCGTATGCGACAACGGTGGCACGGCAATCTGGCCAAAGTAGAACCACAAACTCCTATGCGCGCTCAGAGCAAGATTATCCAGTTACGTTGTAGTGGCTAATTGTAATAGAACGAGCTGCGTTGGTAAAATACAACTATTTCGAGGTTGGCATTCGTGGAAACTTTCGATTGTGGTAGCGTGTCGACCATCTCCAGCCCATCATGCGTGTTACAGCAAAGAAGGGAGTACTTCGTGAGATTGAACTGGTTGTCAAAACCAAATTTTGCATCACACACCATTATCCCTCAATAACGTAATATTTTGACATACAGTATTGACCGCTAGAAGCACGAGCGATGCCGACTTTCTTAATCAAAGCCATCAATCCGGCGCAAATGTCGATTGCTAAATGATCGTTTTGTAGAATAGTATGGCCAATTACACAAAATTTAGTATTTTTGAGCTGATTGGTAAATATCAATAATTGTTGAAGAGGGAAAGTAACATTCTCCTCATAGCAGGTGTTCCACCGATCGCGGTGCTCTGTGGATGTGCACTTGCCCGTAGAGTGTGTCCTGCACCAACGATGTTTGATCGTCTAGCGACAGAGATGATTACGCCACATCGCGCTTAAAATCAGATTGATCACAACTGATCTATTCGCTACAGTCACACATAGCACGGGAATCGGGTGTAGACATCTATGCTAAACACTTGAGTGCATTGCTGGCATATATACGCTAAATTACGATATTTGCCGACATGTTTTTAGCGCAGACGAGATCTCGTTTCTGTGATGCATCATTGACAAGCAAGGTCTGTGAGCAGATCCCGCAAAGAATGAGACCAGCCCGAACCGTTCCTTAACAAGATTAAAAAAGTGACTTGACCTAGCCAACAACTCGCTGAAATCATACTTACTTCACACATTCCCTAATCTATCAACTAGAAAAGGATGTCAGATAGTGTCGTTGTGGGGCAGAAGACATTCTAAGGATGGAAGAAGCTATATGGAAACCCCGATTCTGGCTCATCTGGATCCGGATCGGCCAATTCGTGACGTCCACGACACTTAAACCCTTGTCATTACGTGTTCTGTAACGGGGTTACACGAACCCTTATAAAAGGGGTGTGTGCGTGTCACACGAGATGTGCATAATATGACCACACACCCAAACAAGAATACGGTACGGCTAGGTAGCCAGTAGTTACGCATGTATTTAGATTTTACTCTCTATATATAGTATATTAGGAAAATCTAAACTTTTAAAATTAGGATAGAAATATAAATAAAAATTAGTTTCGATTTTGGACAGAAGTGTTCGTTTGCCTTGGTTAAGGATTTTAAGTACTTTAGAGGCAGCGGATTGCGATCCGCTGCAG